CATACTGCTGTACTGAGACTGGGAATAACACTGAATTTCCATGGAAGAGACTTTCAAATGTGGTGAGAGAGATGCAAACATCTACCTTACCCTGCTGAGGTTTCTTCAGTCGTGGTATGAGTAACTTCTGTACCAATTACGTATTCTAAGTAGCTTTCATGAAATGATCATATATAGAAAATAAGGTTCTTTCAAATTATTAATTTCAGTGAGTCAGTTCCTCAAGCAACTTCTTGCAGATGCTTGGTATGGCAGTTTGCACAACCTTTACTGGGATTCTTCTGTTTCCAACCTTCTTTTCCACACATATCCTCTGACAAAAAGAACAGCAAGATTCTCTCGCAGATTATTATTTAATTCACCTTCACAGCTTAAGAAATCATCTTCAGTAACTTCATTCCATTTGACATCACTTAAACTTCAAGGTTTATTTTGAGACCTACTGTGTTTTTGGTAGAACTTTGTAACTTTAGTCCCATCTCACACACATATACATAAGCATTTTGCTTCCTAGCAGCACTAAAGGAGCCCTTTATATCATAAACCCCTCCCATCAGCACCCATGAAAATATAAATTGTGGGATTTTACTGTACCATTCTTACCAAATGGACTGCGTTCCCTGTGTGACTGTACTGAATGTGTGATCCTGTGGAAAATCTGTGTGTCTCTGGGATATCAATGGTAGGGAAGTGGCTGTGTGTAGTAAAAACAAAGCAGTAATTTAAATAATTTAATAAACAGGAGGGCCACAGATAAATTCTAGATTGGAATCAGAACAATAAGCTACTTAAAATTTTGAATAGAAAACCTGCCCAGGTAACCCTATCCTACTTTGCAACCCTGACAATCAGAGGCCAGCATCATGATTCTTTGTCACCTCCATCATTCAGGAAGCATTTGCCATAATACTTGTGGCATGAATATTTATCAGTAAAGTGGGACTATTAAAACTTCTGAGTCAGAAATAAATTGATCAAGATTATAGAGTGAGTCAATGCAGAGCCAGAAATAGCATTCACAAGTCCTGACTTTCAGCCCTGTGCTCTAACCACTACACAGGTTCCCGAAGGCAGTTGGGTGATGTAATTAATGTTTGTAAAGTAATTTGAATCCTTGGATGGGAAATGCTGTGACAATAGCAAGGTTGGAGGGACAGAAAACCACATGTTAATAGAAGAGAAACAATGGCCATAAACTCTTGGGAAAGGCTGTGTGTACTGAAGAGCAATCAGAAAGTTTTTCTTATAGAAAGTTAGAAAAAGCCTTTGAAGTTGATCAATATCGAACAAGTATCAAGCTCCATGATTTATCTTGAAGAGCTGAGCCAGCCTAGTCCCACCTCTCTATTCTCATGGTTCCAAGGTGTTCTAAACATTTTAAGCAATGTAAGTCAGGAACAAACTAGCCTTGAACGTGCTGTGATTACTTTTATTTTCTTCATTTGTACTTCTATGCCCCACATCTGAAAAAGAAGTGCTAAGCTGTTGCTAAAATGGATACCAGCCAGCAAACAGCCTTTTCCCTCCACACCTTGGTTCTTCATGCTGGAGGTAGTGCTGATGTATCCTGGAAATGCTTTGGTTGTTTTTTGTATCTAGCAACAACTGATCAAGCATATAGTTTGCCGAAAACTGGCAATTCTGAAGATGGCTTCGAGGGATAGTCACAGCATCTGGCCGTGATCCTTTGCGTTTCTGAAGCATCCACCTCTCTTCGGTAACATTTTGCCTCCTAGTGGAGAGCACCGACAGAAAAACCCGCACTGGAAAAGATTGCAAGGGCTTTTTTCTTGTGGAGGAGAAACAATAGATGGATTGTTTGCAAAAGGTTGAGATTATTAAAACTCAAAGGTAGATTTGGTATAGAAGTGGAACTCACGGTTTCTTAGTTCACAGTTGTATCAGTGTAGAAAGAAATGCTCACTCTTTATTCCAGCCGCAATCGCTTTCTTCCGCTGCTCATTTTTATAAGCCCAAACCTTCTTGTACCAGGTTAAATAAATCTTTGCTAAAATCAAACATAGGCAAGTCCTGCAAGACACCTCTAGTCATTACACAGCACCCTCACTTCCAGCACACCTTTCCCACCTCAACCCAATACAGCCATCCTTGGTTTACCAATGACATGGCAAAGGGCAAAAGGAAACATCTTCTGTTTGATTTATGTCAGAAATGCAGCCTGGGAAGTGGGAGGCTGTACACCACCTCTGCTGCCCGAGGTGAAGAGCTGAAGACCAGTGCACAAGAAAGTATGTTGTGCCTACAAACCACTAATCCCAGAGCCAGCAATAAAAAAAATTACAAAAATATTAGCATTCTATCATCCAGCAGCTCCTCCCGAAGAGGGGGAAGTACAGGTTTCTGCTTATCAGCACTGCCTGAGGCTTTTCCAGTTTGGCTGGGAGTAAAAGAATATGTATTTAAATAATAAATGCTGGAGTAGGAGTTAGTCCTGCCTCAACAGAACAGGAAGGGAAAGCAGGGTGTTGCTGCATATTCAACTGTTTTCTAGGCATCAGGCACTTCTCAACAGGAAAATAGTGAAGGCACAACAGCCATGGAACTGACACCCCAGCATTGTACCAGCTGGGTAACTAGCTTACACTGAAAGTTAACCCTTGACAGCAGGATCACTGTGGTTCAGGGTATGCCTGTAATTTTACCAACTGTTTAAGTAGTGGTTCTTGGCATTTAGGTAGCATCACTGCTTCCAGACAAGACAGGAGGGAACAGAATTTTCTGTTTTTCATCTGGTTATTCAAGGATAGAGAACTGAGAATTTGTGTTGATTTCATGGGGCACTGGAGGAGACCTCTAGAGCAGAGTGGCTGCTGTTGGGCACCCCAGCACCCCCTGCCTGGGAAGTGCTCCAGGAGACACCCAGAAATCACAATGCAGGAGTTGTGTGTAATGGGGCACCAGGCAATGTGCTGGAGGGAAGAGATCAGTAATTTCAAAACCACCTGCAAGTAAAAGGAGAGGGCCAGGACACAGGATAAAAAGCAACCTGACAAGAAGTATTCTATGCATACTTTTATTAATAAAATATAAGTTTTACAGCATATGTCAATGGACAGTGTGCTTAGAGAATTCTCTAGTTGGATAGTATGACACCGAAGTCAGTAGCTGGTTTTGGTGAGGATAAATTAAACCTCAGATGACATGCCAGGGATTGCTGCTACTGCCAAAACCAAAACTCCTGCCCAAGACTAGCGTTAGTACCCCCAATTCCATCCCGACACGCACAGCTGAGGTCTGAGGTGGTTTCGCTTGACTGTAGTATTGCTTGGAGGCTGCACCTTGTCCTCTGGGAAATCTACCTGTTCCCTTCTGTGTCGTCTTCACATCCTCACTTCCTTCCGTCTCTGTGCTAAGCGACTTCTCAGGTATTCAGTGCATCATTCGGGATAGATACAAGTGTGGCAGTCTTAATACCATGACCCTCCAACTTCCCAAAATAGCAGTCATTAAACCTACACCCTTCTTCGCAAAATGGAGATGAATTTTACCAGCTCTGATGCAAAAGAAGCATCTAATTACCTCTTCGCCCTTGTGATAAGAGAAAGAATAAACCTTGGCCCTGATCCTGTAAACACCTATACACATGATTAATGTTACTCAACAAGTTGTTTCCTTAACTATTAGCAAGTATAGTCATGAGTAAAATTAGTCACATGCTATGCAAGCAGGAGTAGGGCCTATTAGTTTATTCACCCATTGGAGAACAGTTGCCATTCCTGGGGCAGTTCAATTCTTTACAAGGCTAACAGGTGAAAAAAAAAAAACATAAAGGTAAACCCCTTACAAAGGCTCATGGTCAGGCATGCATGTTACAAGACAAATACTGTATTTAAGAGAACCAGATCTAATAAATATTAGAATTTTTACATTTTCAAACCACTGCACAAGGAGTTAAAAAAAATTAAAGTATGATTGCAATAGTAGTCTTGTTAGCCTCTAACCCAGCCATAATTTTACAGCAGAAACAGTATCTTAGTTGATCAAATAATAAAGGCATTATAATAACTACCTATAACTAAGCCACAGAAATAATTTAAATATAGGTAACTGAAAAGTGAAAATTCTCCCAGTCAAGGTAAGTTCACAACTTTCGAACTTCATTCTGAACATTTCTTTGAAGGAGGAGGAAACCTAAAAGCACAATTAGCAAAAATACCTGGAGGTAAAAACTCATGAGCCTTATAAAGCATCGATATCTAGTTCATCTTTGGATAAGCCTTATTTGCTGAAGAGTTTAAATCTCTCAAATAACTATGAACACTTATTTCATGCAGCTTCTGTACTCCACGTATTTTCTGATCGGTGCACCATTTAACATTTCTGTAAGTGCAGTAACTTTGCAAAGCCAAAAGCAACACTTGCATGGTAAAACTACATTTCCACTCAGTTACTGATAGCAATAAAATACAGAAAATAGAGCATCTCAGAATGCAGTGTAGTCATTATCTATGTAATCACGTGGTATTGTGCACTACAGAACATCATACTGCCAGACAAGAGTTCAGACAACGGTTTAAAAAGCCACAGGGGACTTTGTACTCTAAACAAGGCATTAAAGGTATTGTATCCTAAAACAAGGCATTGAAGAAACCAGGACAAAACCAAACATTAAGACGTTAGTCCCGTAAAACAGATTTTAAAACCTGAAAATTCTATTCCTCTTCCAATTTAAGCAATAGGTTTTTTAAAAAAGAGCCTTCAAGGATACTGGAACAGTATCTGACCTGTTCAGATTGTGGCAAAATCTGACAGCAGTTCATGGATTTGAAATGGAAGTGGTGTTCTGGTCATTCATGAACAAATGCAGCTACTTGTGAAATCCCTCCCTCTCTTCGTTCCCATGAAAAATAATTAATACTGGTTAAAATCATTACAAAAAACATCATTTTATTTTCATGCATCTAAGGTAAAACACAGAGTATTTGTATAAAGAGGTAGATTAAAAAAAAAACAAAACAAAAACAAAAAAACCCAGATTCTCCATTCTTTGTCACTTTTATTCAGTAGTTTGTTTTTTTCCTTATTTTCTCTTTTTTTTTTTTTTTTTTTTTGGTGCCAGACATGGCAAGGAGTGATTACAGTCAACTGTTTATTAAAACATTGGTTGCAACACAGACCCCCTTTACCACTGACCCCAAACGGACCCATTTCATGTGCTTTATTTTGTTGGGTTTTGTCTACACCACCACCAAGGTGAGGTGGAGGGGGGTGAAAGGGAAAGGGGGAGTCCAGGAGGCCAGAAGGAGGAGGAATGCTACAAGCCACAGCAAGAATGAGCTGTATTTAATAAAAAAAGGGGGCCACGAATGATACAGTAATGAGGTTACACAATTAAATCCCATAGCATGACTGAAGGCTTTCCCTGTGTTGGACGTCATCACAATGGAAGGCATAAAAAGTGGAGTAAACCGATGTTGATACAGTCCAATCTAGTCCATTAGGCAAGATGGTGCAAGTAGTCATTTAAATTAAAAAGTGCCCTATCCTCACCTAAATGGCTAGCAGACATGGAGAAGAACGCAGTGACACATCAACAGAGCTTTCTCCATGTAGCTATAAAAGTGTGTTGTCATATGGCACATTTTTAAACACTGGAAAGGGGGTGCCATAATGGACCTCTCATTCTCTTTCGTTTACAGGTACAAATGCTAGATTCAACTATTTCAACTATGCAGGAAGTGGACTCTTCAGGTAGGAATGCCAACCCTAATTCATTTTGTCTTGAAATATATACAAGTTGTTTGTAGTAGCTACGGCAATGATGTTTTCCTTAGGATGCCAGGCTGTGTGTAGAATCTTCTTGTTGAAGTCTAGGCTGTCAACACTGATTTCATCCTTCTTTCGCTTACCACTTGCACATACTTTACGGGGCTTCAACACGGTACGGGGCTTGTTGTTTTCCCGGGATGCCTCTAAGGTGATGTCTCGCTTTGTGTTCCTGTCAAACATTCTGAAGAAGTTGTTGTAAGATCCTGTCATGACAATGCTGCAGAGAGGGAAAAGGAAGAAAGGAACAGTTCAGTTGAAAAATAACCTCTCCTTGCATTAAGCCTGAGGGTCCTGATGAAGATCATGCCTTATTGTGTAAGCAGAAAATAGGCAGGCTCACCCTTACCTTCTACAAGCTAAAGTGAAACTAAAGCATTGGAATGTTTTATAGATTAAAAGAAACTGTATCTTTCTCCTTAAAAAGAGTGTATGTTAAAAGGTCCAGTTATCTAAGCACTTTAATTTAAATGTCATCAATTTGCTTCTCATGCACACGTGAGGAAGCAAGATAACAAAAGCAAAACACATTGTATTTTTAGCCACATAATTTTAGCTACACACAAGTTGCATGAATTCAGACAGTAACAAACATACTGAGTTTGTGATAATACCTTATAGGAGATCCTTATTGTAGATCAGCTTTTCAGTAAGACATACACACTTAAAAGTTTCCCTGCCCTTACTCTGCCTCAAAGAATACTTAAACAGATACAAACTTAAAAAAACACCCCAACAACCTCTATCTGACAATACTGGTACGGCTACAATGAGTTGATTTAGATCTAGCAAATAAACAGTTAATGACATGATTAACACAATAGCTGTCTTAAATACTACTATTGGCTAGTCAGCCATGCCCAAGCAAGGCAAACTTGACAACTTGTTGTAACAAAGAGAATCCCTAGGTTTTTCCTAAGTGTCCTACTTGCTGACAAGGCAACTTAATCAGAACACACACACACACAGGTTCTGCAACAAGCCTGGTGCAGATTCTCACAGGTAGAATGCACAGTCAGACAACAGGGTTTGAGTACATGGACCTTATGCCCATGTAAATCACTCCCAAGTCAGATCATAGCAAACAAACTCCACCAAACCCACACAAAACCCTCCAGAAGATAACCACTGGGGATAAACCTAGCGGATGGGCTATTGGTAGTATTTCAGCAGTTAATGTTTGCAGAAAACCACCTCAAATTGTACTGCTTTGCACATCTCTCCACTTTAACCAGCTGGAACATACTTCACTCTGGCAAAGTGACAAAACTAGATTTCTAGGCAAATTCTATGTCTCTCTAGCACACTGAGGCAATTATCTATAATGCTTTACTACACCAAGGGTTAAGAGCTAATATACATCCATTTAAGTTTATTGAAGTGCTAAAATATTATCCAAGCCAGTCCTTGAATACAACCAGACAGACACGAGGTCACACTTCAAGTTGCCCATTTTAAGAATAACTTAAGTGCATAGAGAGAAGAATTAAACTTGCCTGTCTGATCCATTCCAACAGCATTCAAATTTGTCAAAAATGCAATCATTCTCATAGAGTGAGCAAAGTTTACTTCTGAGGTATTCATGCACCTGAAAAAAAAAAAAATGGAAGTAGATAAACTGAATGAATATTGAACCTACACAACTGTAAAATAACCTGCACAGACGCTCTCCCAAAGTAATGAAGTATGTGACTTGCTCACACCCTCTCCACCAGAGCACACACAGCTCCCTCCTCTGGATGGATGAGGAGCAGAATGAAGAGGCCTGAATTAACATACTCTGCTCCACAAAGACTTCAAATGAATTCAAATAGTAGCAAATTATTCAGGGAGGGGAAAGAGCTGTCTCCCACAACTGAGTAACCCTTCAGAATGCTTTCCCTCTCCAAGCAGCTCTTATACCCTCACTACCCTTTCAGATACCTGAAAGACTTTGCTTATTTCTAAGCATCATGCTTTGGCAACTGATTCCTATGTCTCATGAGAAAATCCCTTCCCAAATTTCCTTATACAGGAAACACCACAGCAATTTTCAGTGCTGGCTAAAAACGTCTTCTGCAAAGGAAATGTTTTACCTCCTCCCACTTCGTCCAGGAAGGAACAGTAGAATATAAAGTCATCTGAAGACTTGTGCTGAGATAGCCTTTATTGGGTAAGAGGGAGGCTTTTTCATACCCAAACATGGGTTTGGATTCTGCAGTCAGCCTGCAGCTAGCAAGATCCTTCAGCACATGTGTGAAACACAAATCTCACCAATGCTTTGCCTGGATATAGTCATCTGCAGGCAAAAATCTAACTGCTACATCAAGACTATTAGTAAGACTCAGTATCCTTCAAGGTTTTAATTTCTAGCCTACATCATCTTCACCAAATACCTGGTATGTTTCCACAGGTCTATTTTCCATATTTAAATCCCAGATCTTCACTGACAGATAATCTCTAGTCATCATATATCGACCACTATGGCTAAATTTGACATCAGATATGGAAGAGATGATTTCAGAGAAAAATGATCTGTTGCTAGGATCTTCTGGTTCTTCAAACACTGTAGGAAAATAAGACAGGCATTTCAAGAAGTTTGTGTCGCATCCAATACAAGATACACCCACATTAGGCTAACATCCTCTCAATAACCTTGCCACAATCCACTTCTAAGTAAGCAAACTACTCACTAACACTTGGAGTCTTCATTCACACATGTAAGATTTCTAGCATCAAGCACAGCCCAAGCACCTAGTATCTGGCCTCCTGAAGCCTGCAGAAGGCTATTCCTAGTCTACTGTCTAGGCAGACACCCCAGCTTAAACTGCTAATAATTTGATTCATTACTTCTACTCTGGCAAAACATGAACCTCATTTTAGACTACAGGCTTTAGATCTAGTCAATATACTACAGAAATCCAATACAAATACATGCAATTCCATGCTTCATATATTCTTAATCAGTGCTTAGTTTTATCTAGCAGCAAGGTAACAACAACAAACAGTGCAGGACAGAACTTACATTTTGAATGCCGGTCACAGAGTGCTGATGCTCTCATATCACAGAGACGAATTGTTCCTTTACTGCTGCTGTACACAAACGTGTTACAGCTGTTTGGGTGGAACTCTGCCGCTGTTATCACCTCTGTGAGCTCCTCCATGTTGGCAGGCTTAATATCTACAATATCTGCAGCATTTTGTTAAGAAATGGTCTCCAGTTTTCACAACCCATCTTTCAGCTTTGAAAGCATCCAGCAATGCTTTTGCAGGACTGTGGGACACAGTCACAAACTGGATAAACGTGAAAATCAAGTCTCACAGTTTGTCTAGAAAACAAGACTGTAACACTGCATTCTATAGCAGTTTGAAGTTAATGCTTTTAACAGCAAAAGACTGCCTGGTATATGTCAAAGACTTCTCACACAGAACTTTATTTTGCTTCAGTTCTAATTACTAGATTATAAAGAAGGCATCTGTGATTTGTGCTCAGGATCCCACAGATTTCTGCTCCCAGCAATGGGACTGCAAACATATTCCTGTGATCCTACTGCCTGCAGCACCTATAGGTGCACACGCGAGAGGGTCCGATGGTTAGGTTAGAAGGTAACAAGGCATAAGCACTGTTTAGAGAAGGATGTTACTTCTGACTTGCTTCTTACTGCAAGTCAAATAAATGTTCACAAGATAGTTTACTGTGATCCTGCCTTCCAGAACTGCTCATCTCACTTGAAACCTTCAGCTTTTTTTCTCTTTCAAAAGTGTTTTTCACCATGCAAATGACAACTACTCCTTATACTGCT